CTGTACCGTTCTCCAGAGCCGAGCGGTTTATCTGGGGGCCCTGATCTTAGTTAAATTGTGGGGGCCTGCTCTTAAATTGGGGGCCTGCTCTTAGTTAACTTGGTGGGGGGGCATCAAGATCCTCGGGGCTTTACCAGGAAGATGCCGGCAAACGTGGGGAAAGTTCAGTGATTCAGTGGAGGTGAAAAGGAGCAGGAACGAATGGGGTAAAAATGCATCACCAGGGGACCGTGGGTCACGGGAAACGGAGAGAAAGCAGAAATGTTAAAACCAGGGCACATGGAAAGCTGGCCCCATTGTCAGATCCACTGCTCAGGGGTTATTAGTGGGGTTAATGCTTTGTGCTTCTGGGCGGGGGGGCGTTCTAAGGAGACTGAAACCACAGGGGCCAGAGCTGAGCTCCCCCGGCAGCAGCACATCCCCCCAGTGAAGCTGCAGATTGAGGGGCCGCGGAGGAAGGCCTCCCTGAACGTGGCCGTCCTCTCAGTGCCCAGCTCCCGAGCCAGTAAAGTCCCTTCACTCTGCAACTGGCGCTTCCCCGGGGTTTGCTGAGGCCACATCCCTCCCTCGTGGCTTAAGGCAGAGCTGGGTCCCCCAGGAAAGCAGCAGAGGGGCAGGAACCTGCTCTGGGGGTCACTCTCCAGCGGTGAGGCCTGACCCCTCCCTCAGGTCCTAGCATTCCTGGGGCAGGGGCTGGGGCCTGTGCCGACCTGGATGGAAGGAGCTCGGGGAGCAGGAAACAGGAAGATACTTGCTGAGAAAGTCAGACAAGTCCAAACTCTGACGGGTCAAACCATCCCCAGGATCTAGACCAGCAAGCGTTCGATGAGTGCAGGCTTTCCGAGCGAGGGGTAAGGGGCTCTGCCGTGCCCTGGGGCAGCCCCGCCAACCAAGGCGGAGCAGAGCTGCCTCCCCGGAGGCCGGAGGGCGCTGGCCTGTGGATGGGGCGAGCCTCAGATGGTCTGGTAGTGCTGCCGCAGCCGGGCCTGCAGGAATTCGTACGTCAGGTTGTGTCGGGTGATGATCCCAACGATCTAGAATGAGGAGAAAAAGACCCAAGTCACCTGCCGAGTCAAACGCAGTGGGGCACGACCCGAGCGGGTGGAGCCGGCCCAGTCTGTCAGGAGGAGTGGAGGGCAGACAGGGTCCTGGATGGTGCAGCGCAGACACGACACCATGACCCCCATGTCAAAGGTCACCTGATCTCTACGGAACAGGATACACAGACAACTAGGGCTCCTAAAGGGGAGGCCAGTGGGCTGTAGCCCGGCCGGGGACAATCTGAATGTGTGCACCTGTGCAGACAGGGCACACGCTCCCCAGGATTTGGCTTGAAAGTCTCTCATTTACCGTTACAGTGCCCGTAACAGCTGGGGAACCGACACCTCACCCCACCCACCCAGGTGCTGCCAGGTTTTGGGTGAAGAGACGGCCCTAAACTCTTCTAGTCCACGGTGCCACTGGCGACATCTGCTGGCCACGCTGGAGATTGCAGATAAGAAACCGAAGGCGAAGGGGGAAGGTGCGTGAAGTTACCCCAGGTTCCACGCTCCCACTCCCTCCTCACTCCCGGTGGGAGTTTCAGAGGAGGTTTTAGTCTAGAGACCTCCCTGCTGGATTCTGTGGTTGGAGGGTCCTTTCCTGAAGGTGGTGGTGGTGGGGGTAGAGCCAATCCAAGAAAGTTGATGTGACCCTTTGAAAATGGAAATATAAGAGCCCAGTTGTCCAAAGCTTGTGGAATATACAAAATGACTTCCTAACAACCCCCTGAACTCTCACCTCTCCCACGGCATTCACCACCGGCAAGTGCCGCAGCCCCATTGTTCTGAACAGGTTGAAAACTTGGGAGACGCTGCTGTTCGGTGACACGGTGAAGGGTGACGGGTTCATGTACGGGGTGACGTCCTGCGGAGGAAAGACAACTAGTTCCCTGCGGCCGGCTCTGCCCTAACCAGGACGGGACGCCAAGCAGCACCGACCAGAGAGTCCTTTCCCGGCCCGTCCTGGGGGGCAGCCGCTCACCACTATCA